GATCTGTAGACCCGATGTAGCAAACACAGCCTTCACCCAATGCCCACGACAAACCTCTCTCTGCACAGTCCATATGCTTGTAAAAATGCCTGACTCTCCTCAGCAGTTCCAGCTCCTTCTGTCTGATATCCTAATTTTTGCTCCAGTCTTCAGACATTTAGCTCCTTTCACACGCTACAGCAATGATGTGATCAGGTACAGCAACTACGTAAACTTCTGTGAACACTGAATATCCTTCATTATGTTATCTTTTTGCTTATTTACAGCTCATCCCATCTGTTTGCATTTTGAGAGCTTTGTCACATTGTTCCTCAAAGGTAAAACTGGAGTTTACTCACTTGAACAATTACTCAAAGGGGTTGATTATAGCTCTGCCTGATCTCAGTCTAGAGTGGGTAACACAATAATTCTACTTAAACACTCAGATGATTGTGAATTTGCTTGTCCGTATGAATGCAAGTGTCAGTTCTTCAGGAAGTTGTACCCTGACTTGTATGGAGTCTTTTAAGTGGGGAAAATATTAATAGCTTAAAATTTGCTAACAGTGTAGCAAACTATGAAAATGGCATGGAAGTGTTACAAAAGGTCTACGTTGGTCACATAATTCTAAAGCTGCAGCCTGATACACTGGTGAATGCTTAGGAGGGCAGACCTGAATCTGACTGGGAGATAGCTAGGAAAGGAGTGAACAGAGCATCTGGCACGCTGTCCTCACAGCAATCTCCCCTGTGGACAGAACACCAATTCCAGAGAAGCAAAGAACTCTTGGGACTAACTCTGTGGCCTCACCGAGCAGGTATGCAGTTTATCAGTTGGATCCCAAGGAGAAAAAAAGGTTATTTTAGACTAAGCTTATCAAATACCAACTTCTAACATTTCTATTTGCTTTATCTTTTCTCAGTTCTTCACAGCTGTGTTGTCTAGCGTGATTTCTTTAAATAAACATTCTCCTTTGCTTCTTCTTTAACTTTGTTTGTAGTATGGGCAATTTCAAACTTGCTGGGTAATGAGATGCAGGCACTACATTCCCATCAGTGTAAGGATCATTCAAATCAAGTTCTTGACCACCTACACAAAACAGCACTGCAAGATAAGGCAGTGGATGCTGCAGCTTAGGGTGCATGGATCACAAACACCCATAGGCCCACTAGGCATCCTCCAGTGATTAAACTGGGGGAAATGTGAGATAACTGAGCTCACCTAATTTGTAACACATTGATTCTCCAGCATCACATCCAAGTTTTCTCTCATATTTTCCTTCACTGTGGCTCAAAAGTTGTTACAAAAGCATCACGTATAGAACGTGTGCACAGCTTCACATGATTCCAGCTTCACGGTGCCACAGAGAGCTAATATACAGCATTCATAAACAAACAACTCTCTCCTCTAGAAAAGAAATAGGAAACTAAAAAGTAATCTAGATTCAAATGACATCTGTGTTTCATCAGGTCTGAGATACAGCCAGGTGATTTTTGTCAATACTCCAAGCTAAATGCCTAGTTGGATACAGAGTGGAGCTGTAAAACTAGAAGGCAAGACGTACTGAGAGCACATGAACCCATTTTTCCTGCCTCCTCACAAAGACAAGAGCAGCACAGAGCCTTCTGTAGGGATGCAGAAGCCTTTGTGTGTACTTTTATGTGACAGTCACCAATCTATTTATGAGTGGCTCAGATGCAGATAGTGCAGCAGGGGCAGCACAACCTCCGTTTGATGGCAGCCATGTGGAGCCTTGTGCTGTCAGAATCACATAACATTAAGCAAAACAATTTAAAGCTAGCACTGACTGCAGCATGGACATCTCCTTGTTGTCCAAAACAAAAACCATATCAAACAAAAGTACACAACACAGGTGAAAGGGGAATCAAAGAACAGCCCTGCTCATTTGCACCAGAGACTGGAGAAAGCTGTCTGTGCTTTGCTATGTGCTGTGCTTTCTGCTACAAAGCCAGCAGCGTCAGCATGGACATCAGTGGTAAACTCTCTTGTTGTCCCTGTGAGTTTTGCCTGACCTTTGAAAAGAAATCTCCACTATGTCTCCAGGGGTCATTTTACAAGGAAGTCAGATTGACCTTTTTGTTCTGTGCTTGAGATCAACGTGGCATGGGAAAAATAGGCTAATGTGGAAGATAGAAATAATGAGTTGACCTTTCTGAAAAAATTGGCTATAAAAATGATTTAGTATGGAGAAAAGTATCTTAAAATGAAAGCATGCTTATTCTTCTCAGTAGAAATAACATTGTTTAAATTCATTCCTGAACCCACAAACAAACAAACAAAATTCAGTCCATTACTTCCTCAAAACATCATCTTCTGTTACATGTTCTCTTTAGTAGGACATAAAACCTCTTGTTCCACTATTCTTACTGCCTTCGTGTTAAGTCAATTGCAGTCATTAAGACACTGAAGATGTAATTTGTAACTAAATTAAAATAGGTATCCATATATCGATTCCCTCAGAGCAGAGTTTCTCCTATTCAGCCTCCACTTCGTCAGCTCTGTTTTATGACTGCTAATGCAGTGTTTCCAGGCACGTGGTTTATCGTGTTGTTAGGGTCACAATCTTTAGTGAGATTTTGTAATATTCAAACAGAGGTTGGATCTGGTTTTGCTTTGCAACCCATTATTGTATTTTAGTGCATTTCAGAGGATTTTCAAGCCAAAACAGAATTCTCTTCTGAAATATCTTAGCCAAATTTCCTGAGACACTAGACATACAAGATGATATAGAGAGTGCATGTCAGCCTCACTTCCCAATTATTTATAATTCATTGACAAAACCTGATGGAAGATTTGTAAAGATATTAAGATTCTGCAGGGTTTCTGTGGAAAACTGGTCATAGCCAGAAAAGGGGAAAATTGAGTGCCAGCAGTAGAGGTCAAGCTATCTTCTTGTTGGCCTGCCAACTTACCAGTCAGTGCTGCTCAGAGCCAGGCGCAGTTTAAGCTGTCCAGCATCATAAAGACAGAGGAAGAACTAGGGGCAGTTGGAATTGTGTTAGAAAAAGGAATTAATGCAGAGGGTTTGGGGGTAGAGGAAGTATGACTTTGGGGGTAGAGAAAGTATGACTGTTGGCAGAGAAGGCTGAAGTCATGGGAAGGTCTGTAGGGTGGCTGGCCTACAGAAGAACAAGAAGAGACCAGCAGGAGGGAAGGAGAAGCACAGAGGATATAGGTTCCTAAGAAACTGGGTTTTACCAGTCGTGCTGCTGACATTTGGTCTTTTGCAGTTCTCTTCTGCCTGTTTCCTTTCACATCCTACTTTATCCACTGGCTTCCAGATGAAAAGAAACAGCATATACGAAAGAGAAAAAGAAGTTTGTACCTGAAAACCAACTTCCAGAGCACACAACAAATGAGTAAAATAAGTTTTTACAAATATGAAAGAAAAATAGAAAATATCATTGTAGAAATCTAGCTATATAATGGGAGGGCCTCTAAACTCAAACTGCAATTGTTCTCCACAATACACAACCTCTTCTTTGAATCAAGCAGAATCTAGCACAACATTTGCTAAGTAACGAACTGTACATGGAAACAGAATGGCTTCAAGAATAAGGAGGGGGGTTGTTTCCCTGTGAAATATGTGCAGGTGTACAAAGCAGTTCCCTGCTTGTGGCTGCCAGTGGACTCCATGATCCCTAGAGGTCCCTTCCAACCCCTACAATTCTCTGATTCTGTGAACTGCAGTGGGAATTCTTTCGGCCTGCTCTGGCCAGGTAGAGTCTAACACTTCATCCATAAGAGGGCAGTGCCGTACGCCAGCACACCAACCCACTGTTCTGAGCACATTTGTTTGAAAATTAACTACTGCTGCTGATCAGGAAGTAACGTGTTCATCTGACACTCTTCAGAGTGTTGATTGCTCTGGCCAGCACACTGAAACACATGTAATATTTTACAGACTTTACCTGAAACATTACCAAAGATCAACTCTGATAAAGAGCTAATCTTTCCATCCCGCTCCCCTGAACTTTCATCTTCCTTCCCTGGTGCCTCACCTGCCATCTTTAAATCCAGAGGGATTGTTTCATTGTTTTAGTAGACACTTGGAATTCCTGAGGCAACAAACTGAGCTCAGACAACAATAACCGGGTTGCTTACAGAACAGCACGGTGCCGGGAGGGTGAGCAGCAAGCTGTTACCACGCAGCCTCAATGAGGCCTTTTGGGAACACCGCGGTGGGAAGAGGCATCGACTTGTGAGATGAGTTTGTTCTGACTCAGCAAGGCAGCATTTTGAACTGACTGTTCTTCCTGTAGTGGCTGTGAATGAGGGAGGAACGCTGCGAGACGTGGCGAGACTCCAAAGCATCAGCTGTTCATACCCTTCTATTTACGTTACAGCAAAGCACACAGACCAGAGCCCTGTCTGTATCAGTTTCCCTGACCTCCAGAACGCATGGGGGTGGAAGCCTTATTTCTGAGTGAGATTTGGATTTATAACTTCTGCTGTTTCTACTAAGGGAAAAAAACAACAAAAAACCAACTTCTAACAGTCACTGGATGCGATTTCCACAGGAAACAACCCAGAGGCGCTCTTACAAACTGCGCAACCTCTGAATAAAAGCCTTCATCTGCAGGCAGAATTCAGTGAAGCGACAACAGGTGCGCGCGGTGAAACCTCCCGCTGATTTCCTGTCCGAGTTTGCAGCTGAACGTGACAAACACTCCTCGCAAAAAACCTCCTCGGCACCTGGCGGAGGAGGAGGAGGAAGGGGCGGCCATAGCGAGGCGGCCCCACCCGCGAGGGAGGCGCGGCCGCTGAAGGGGAGCCGCCTCGCCGCCGCCCTCCCTGCCGCCGCGGCCGCCTCAGCGGGGCGGTGCCGGGCGGGGCGGAGCCGCTCCCCGCGTCAGCCCAGCGCGGCGGGCGGGAGGGGCCGGCAGCCTCGGCGCTGCCGCGGCGGGAGAGGCGCTGGCGGGGTCGGCGGCGGCGGCTCGTCGCGGGAACAAAGCGGGGCCGGCGACGCGCGGTGAGAGGCCGCGGGGCGGCTGAGGCGGCGTGACGGCTCCCCGCCCCGGGGTCCGCCCCCGATCGGGCCCGGCTGGGGCTGAAGTGGGGGAGCGGGCGGGGAGGGGCGCGGAGCGGGACGAGAAGCGGCGGAGCAACATGGAGGTGCGGCTCGGCGCAGGTTGGGGCGGGCCGGCGGTTCGCGAGGGCTCGCAAGTTCGCGCCGCGGCTCCGCAGTGCTGGCGGCCGCACTGAGCGCCGCGCCTCCCGCCCCCCTCCTCTCCTTCCCGCCCGCCCGGCGGTGCTGCCCGAGGTGCAGCCCATTTCCGACAGCTCGGATCCGAACCCCCGGCTGTTGCTGTTTGCCGTAGTACTTGTGCTAATCGGGTGCCTAAACGTAGGCTGTGGTTGTTATGTAGCGCTATTTCGGGGTTTCTTTCCTATCTTGAATACGCAGTATCGGATTAGAGTCTGGAGGTGCAGTGTTTGGCTCACTGGAGGAATATCTTAAGGGAAAGCGGAGCCGGTGACTCTTTCTCAATCTTCTTAATGCCTTTTTCCCTCTAGAGCACAGCCAGAAGAGGAATGGATGTAACATGATAGCCCTGGAGTCCTCAAAACGCGCTGTGAAGATTCGGTGTTTTGGTTGAGCGCTGCGAAGAAAATGGATGAATCAGCTCTGCTGGATCTGCTGGAGTGCCCTGTGTGCTTGGAGCGCCTCGATGCCTCGGCAAAAGTCTTGCCTTGCCAACACACGTTCTGCAAACGCTGCCTGCTGGGTATCGTGAGCTCTCGGAATGAGCTTCGCTGCCCGGAGTGCAGGACTTTAGTGGACTGCGGTGTTGATGAACTTCCAAGCAACATTTTGCTTGTTAGACTACTGGATGGCATCAAACAGCGGCCGCGGAAGCCTGGCACTGCTGGTGGGACGGGGGGTGCAAATAATTTAAGGGTCCCCATCACCGCTGTCGCTAATTGCGGATCCAAGGACCTGCAGAGCTCTCAGGCTGGGCAACAGCAAAGGGTGCAAGCACGGAGCCCTCCTGTTAGGGTAAGTAGGAGGGAATGTGATATATTTCGTTTGCTCACAGTTTCAAAATGTTATTTGCCTTTGTTTCAGGAGAAGAACAGTCAGGTAGTAAATGTGGCAAAACAAATTATTTTGGACGGTTATGGATATCTAGCATCAGTTCTCTTCTCAGTGATGGTTTATTGCTGTGTAAATATCAATGAGTTAGGGATAATGCTTTCATACTGGAGATCTTATTTTGGCTCTTGCCCTTTCTGGTTATCTGTAAACTTCCTGCAGAGTAGGTACGATGAGTATTAAAAATGGGAGGGAAGTTCAGTTCGTGTTGAGGATGATTAAAGTTTTGCCTTTGGCTTCTAAGGAGCTTTGACTTTGGAAAAGAAGAGATCTTTGAATTGCCATGGTCTGATAAGCTCGTTTGTCCTTTCAGTCCTCACCCTGTCAGTCCTTTTCTTCTTGAAAGTATTTTTTTGAAGCAATTAGAAGAATCTGTGTGCTGTGATTGGCAGACATTGTCTTAAGCCTGTGCCCTGGTTCCTTCCCTGGATCCATGCAACCTGTGAACTTTGTTGTGCTTTATAATCAGGAGTGCAGTGGCCTTGTTTATGGTTCTCCATTCTAGAGCCCTTATCAGGAAATATCTATTTACAAGACTACCAACCTTGCTCTGTTATGTCTTAGCAGCAAGGCAGATTGGCTTCTCATAAGGGTTCTGCTGCCCACCTGGAAACGTTGCCTATCCCGAGTTTCCATGATGGAAGTGCAGTTTCTGAATGATTCACGTTTTTCCTCCTTGCTGAGTTTAGCAAAATGTCCTATGGAGTTTCAAGGAGAGGGTTTAAATATGTATTTAGCAAGGCTAGTCTTTACCTTCAAGTACATCTGAATGTTTTTGTTTACTTACCAAATGAGGAAAAGCTTATAAATACTTCTGGAGACAAATAAACATTATGACTGGCATCTCTAAAACATCTTTGATGCACTCCTTAAGTTTACATGAGAATTTCAAGCACGGGTGTTCCTTCACTAGATTGTATTGTTTTAGCTGCTTGGTAATCTCATTAGGTTCTTCTCTCTAGAATATAACATTGAGTGTCAGAATATAACATTGATGAGTGTCATGCTGCTTCCTGCTAATGAGTTTTGATCTGTGTGCATATGTTGGTAAGGGAGAGGAGGTGATGTACTTCTGTTTCAGAAGCTAAGCCTTAAAAAAGTTCTGTAAAGAAACACTAGCAAAATCAAAACCAATCACCTGGTCTTCTCTGTAACCTTAAGCACTTTGCTATGGCATCTTGCGTTTTCAGAAGCTCTTCAGCTCAAAATAAGGCAAAAATCTCCATATAACTTGTTTTTATATGGTCACATGTATTTTCAGGGCTGCCTTTTTGGAGAAGAAGACTTGTGGTATAGCAGTGTACTGCATATGCGAGTGAGTGCACACTGGAGTTTCTCAAAGCCTCACTAGAAAAAATATGGAATATTCTTTTCCAATGTTGCACAACAGGATATTGTGGAACACTTACATTTCCAGATGTTGCACAGAGTAGAAAGTGATAACGTATGGAATGTTGCTTCAGTTCATTAGTTGTTTTATACCATGTGCCATTAAAATTGTGACCATGTGGATTCCTCCTGCAATTAATTGATATTCTGTGTATGCTAGTGGTAGATGTCAGTGTTTTACAGTAAGTCTGAATAAGTCTTTGTTTCTGGAGCTTCAAAGCTGTTTAGAGTAACACAGGCATTCTTGTGTCTTCTTTCCTTTGGGAGACAGGGAAAGATGATCTCTCATCCTCTGTCCACTTTGTCCAGAGCTTTCTTTTAATGAGGAGGGCAGTGCTTCTAAGAATGAGCCTACTCTGAGGAATGATAATAGGGATAAACGAACAGTATTTCCTTTTTCTATGTTAAAGTGTTTAAAAAAAACAAAGTTCAGAAGACAAAATGCCAGTTTAATGGACGGTGTTGAAGTGCACGTTGTATTTGTTTTGTGAACTATAGCATAAAGATGCTTTCAAATACTGTTCTTCTCTGGGAGCCGGGGAGGAAAATCTGTTTCTGGATGAGCGGCAGAGTCAGATTTCCTGAACTAATTTTGCTGAAGGGGAACTAATAAATGAAAGTTGCTGTTACGTTAAATGAAGTGAATGTGGATGAAGGCTGTCAAGTCATAAACATTCTGCTTATACCCTGAAGTAATACTAAACTCAAAAACGCCCTTTCAGAGGATGCCATAGTTGAGAGAGAAGGTTAATTCAGCATGTACTGCAACGCCATTTCCTGAACTGTATCAATGGCTATGAGACTGCCAGCCCTGTTGTTTTAGAGTTCTACCTATATTGCATTCTCTGGGTGTATGTGGTGACACATGGCAATAAACAAACAAATGATTCCTTGTGCCTTAAATCTAATAAAGCTGGGGGTGATGGGGGTTAATGTGTCTTGCACCTCATATTCCTCCCTCTGCAATAACCCTGTTTCTTTCTGTAACCTGTATAATCTCTCACCACTAAACAACTGCAATTTCTAGTTATGAGTTCTTAACCTCTTTGTGTTCCCTTCTGTCTTGATGCAGAAAGCTCTCTGCACCTTTCCCTGGCTTTCAGTTGGACAAAGGCAGCACAGTGCTATGTGTGATGAAAGTTGCCTTAGCTGAGTGCCCAACTCTGCTGTTCTGAGCAGCCACCTTGCCTGGGAGAACAAGTGGTGGTTGAGCTCCTTCTTGTTGGTGTGGATAATAATTTGGTGCCTTTTTAAGTGAAAACTTTCAGCTAGGTTGGCAGTTGGACAGAGCTTTAAGACCTGCAGCGTGCTGTTAGATCTGCCTGGGTCTGGTCATCAGGAGCAAGCCATTGTGGTCTGAGGTGAGGGGCTGTGTGAACATTCTGCTTTCTTAGAAGGAGCACGTGAACGTTTGAAGATGCTTGTTTTCAAATTTCTGCCCTTATTATGCATCTTGTCACTTCCACAAGGTAAGTCAGGCAGGTATTATCTTAAGTTCCTTACGGCAGTTTTACGAGGGCATGCTTATTGCTGGAGGCTTAAACCTAGCTGTGGGCATAAGTTGGGAGGTGCTGGAAAATGTTCTAGTTGCTGTAGCAGAGGATAGGTTTAAGTTGGTAGACGTGTATGTCTTGGGCAGTACAAATTCAAGGGGAATAAAGAAGTTGTAAATTTTCCTGCTTGTTTATTTATGGTCTGAATAGTTAACAAAGTTAGGGTTGTCTTTTCCACAGAATCTAGAATGGAGCTGCCTAGATGGTCTGAAAGCTGCCCCATCCCTGGAGGTGTTCAAGGCCAGGTTGGATGGGGCCCTGGGCAGCCTGGTCTGGTATTAAATGGGGAGGTTGGAGGCCCTGCAAGTGGCAGGGGGGTTGGAGATTCATGATCCTTGGGGTCCCTTCCAACCCTGGCCATTCTGTGATTCTGTTTTTCATCTGTTGTCTGGGCCAAGTTTAGGCAAAATAGGTAAATGAGAGATTAAAACATTTTACCTTCCCAGATGAAGTACGAATAGCTCAAAAATTGGCCAAGCCTGATGGCATTGATGCTTATGCTGAATGAGTATTGATGGTGTAATCTGAGTGAGAAATGTTACAGAGAAATCTTACAGTGCAGAAATTGGAACAGTCATAAAGCTTTCCTTTTTTTTCTTCATTTTCATCTTAAAAGCAGAGTCTCTACCACAGATGGTGATGTTTTCTTGAAACAAGAAGGTAAAGGAACATTACAGACTCTTAGGATATGCTCACTGAAGGTGCTGATGGGGCTTTCTCATTTCTTTAATAAATTCTTGCTCTGTGCATTCCATTTTTCTTAACCACTAACATCTCAGCTGTTTGAGATATATTCTTCTACACTGAGGAGAAAAGAAGCCTATAAACAAAATCTTATTCCACAGGCTTCTACTACTGAATACGTGGCTGTCTGGCATTGCGTTGTAACCCCGTGCTTCCATTCTTATGTGTGTGTACCCCAGGTTTAAACAGGAAGGTTTAAGGTTTTAACAGTAAGAGCTTAAACTCCGTGTTGTCACTACAGCAGCAAATGTTGCGTTCTGATAGGTTTGCCTGGAAACTGCTGAAGCAGCTGTAAGGCCAAGAAGGAGAAGAGAGAGATCCAGACCGTCTTTTTCCAGTGGTAGTGTCTGAACTGGGTGCTCAGCTTTGGGCAGCAGGTATGATGGGCTGCCTTCTCTTCTGTGAAAAGAGGAACTGGGAAGTGTGACCTGTTTATCTGTCAGATTTGATGGGTGTTGTTGGCAAAGAGTTTTCCTTTGCACTCAAGAGCTCTGAAGGAAGAGAGGCCATGCTGGCAGCCTGCACAGCTGGACTTTTGGACAGGATTCGTGGGCCCACTGGGAGCTAAAGTGAGTGTTGCAGCTGTAGGCGTGGTGCTCACTGGCCAGCTGATACCTTGGCAAGTCTTTGTTTATGTCAGAAGAAAACAGTGGGATTGCAAATGTGCTATTCATAGATCTGCAACTGTAACAAAGGATTGGAAATAAACATGAGGTCCACTTGGGGTTTTGACCATGCATAACAGCAGATGTTGAATGGAACATGTGTTTAAAATCTGCTCTGAACAAGAGTCAGCAGAACAAAACAGCACTCAGAAATGTTACCTGACCAGCAGATATTTACCAATAGGACACTTAGAAGAGGCCCATATTGTGATGATAGGTCAGGTTGTAAAGGGTGTCTCTTAGAAAAAATCCCCTGTTGTAGAAACAGGCAGCTGCTAAGGCAGTTAGTTTCATGCCTGGTGTTCATACTGATAAGTTAGCGAGTCATTACCTGGCAGTGCTTGATTTTGGAGGTCTGTATTTGTACAAAATCTGCTTCTTCCTTTTTTTCTTTTCAGAGAAGTTTACTGTTGTCTGTGTAGTTTGAATCGCGTTTCTGCATGTGTTCTTTCCTTAGAAAAGTAGGAAGAAGCAAGGTGCAACTCAGAGGGGTTTGCTGTGCTGACTGCAGGGAGAGGTGCTCATTTGTACTCAGCAGACGTGATTAGGAAAT